CGGCAGGGAGTCTGCTTCTCCCTCTGACCCTCCCCACTCTCATGCTCTCTCTCTCTCATTCTCTCTCTCAAATAAATAAATAAAAATATTTTTTAAAAAATAAATTAATTAATTAATTAAAAAAATAAAAATAAATAAAACCATGAATTCTGTGTAAACCTTTTGCAGTATAACTATCTGCCAGCCATTGAGGTGGGAAAAGCAAACTTAAAATTTTTGTTTCTCTTTTTCTTTCCTCTCATGAAGGTAAAGTTTATCTGATAAGAGGCCTAAAATTGACTTCCATTTTAATGAGAATCCATTTGCACTCCCAAGATACAGTCTTTAGTTGTTTTGGCTTTGCTGTGTTCCTTAGTCAATTTTTATTAATATTTTTGTGGCAAAGTCCTATATTATTTTAGATCCCAATCATTATAAACTATTAGGACATACCTATTCTAAGTTCCTTGACAGGAGAGACAGGAATGATGGTTTATGTTGATGATGACTCGAGTACAAGTAGATGGAACAATGAACCTATATGTTGAACTGCTTTTGAATTTTATAAGTGGACTAAGTCTGTGCTACTTTTCTCTTTTTGTTTAGGAAATGTGGGTTCTTCCCCTAGATCCTCTGACTTGGTCAGATTAGCCCAAGAGTGCTGTTACCATAATAACAGGGGCATTGCAGCTCATGGAGTACGAGTCCTAACTAATATAACAGTCTCTTGTCAAGAAAAAGGTAAGTTTGATCAGGACTGATACTATGTATAAACTTTCAGATTGAAGTTTGGGTGGAATTGTGTGTGTGTGTGTGTGTGTGTTTAATCTCTTCTTTTTAGCATATATGCTTTTATCTATCGGTTGCCTCTAAAGTCTACTTAGAGCAGGTTTTCTCAAAACTACTTAGTCCTATGAAAAATAAAAACATATATATGAGGACCTTGGGATTGGGATTATGAAATTGAAAGGTTTCATAGAGCATTGCACATTTCCTCCCAGTGCTTCACTTTGCATGCATGGTGCTGTGGATACGGATCACTTTTGACTGCCCTGTGGTATGACAATTTGTTCGCATGTACAAAAACCTGGAAAATTGAGGAAGAAAGTACCTTAAGTTATCAAGGGGCTTAAGTAACAAATAGTTTCACCTAGGGGCAAATGAATTAAGAGAGTAATATGAATTAAATTTGCCTAGAATTTGTCTCTAGGTATTTAAAGCATTAAGCTCATTTGTATAATTTAGGATGTGAATAGAAAATATGCTTATATTTTATTTTATTCCTAATATTTTTTACCTAAAGACTTGAATAAGTTCAAGCTGGTATTCAAAACAGAAATGTATTTTGTTTTTTTGTTTTGTAGGATGTGAATAGAAAACAATGCTTATATTTTATTGTATTCTAATATTTTTGACCTAAAGGCTTGCATAAGTTAAAGCTGGTGTTCAAAAACAGAAATGTACTTTGGATGTTTCTTCTGTTTCGGTGTTTATTTTGCTCTTCATTAAGGCTCGTAAGTGGGGATCTTACCACACTAGACGTCAGCACTGCTCATTCCTAGTACCTATTTTTTCCTAGCACCCTGACCTTCACTAGTCTTAACACTGTCAAGCCCTACACTAACTCAGGTGACATTCCTTTAAAATTCTTCTTTAAATGCTGATTCTTATTTGAATAATTAGTCCTGTTTTATTTTTGATATAGTAATGAGTATTTTCTACCATGTAACAGAAAACTGTATGTTCTCAAACCTCATATATATTAACCTTAATATGGTTAACAATATATTCAGAATTCTCTAGAACTTCTAGAGAAATTCGAGCCCTAAGGTAGTAGAAAGATGCTATAGTACTGCTATTACATGAGACACCTTAAGGGGTTTGTTCTTTGTGGTCTGACTTAAAATATTAATAAGGTTATGTGGGGTTTTCATTACTTCCTAAAAGGGTTTCAATTTTCATTAGAAAGTTACATTGTAGGTGAAAATGGACAAGCATAATTAATGCCTAGTTAGGAAGATTAAAAATTTATATCTAGTGAGGAAGATTTATGTCTGGTTAGGAAGATTTATGCCTGGTTAGGAAGGTAGTACATGGTTTGCTGTTCCTAGTAGTTTCCTCAGCTAAGCTGGTGACACTGTTTTCAGCTATGCTTTATTTATACCTTTGTGGCTATAGCTCTTGATTGAACATAGGTATACATACCTTTTTTTAAAAATATTAGTTTCAGGTGTAGGACATAATGATTTGATATTTGTATATATTGTGAAATGATTACCACAGTCTAGTTAACATCAGTCACATACATAGTTATAAATTTTTTTCTGTGATGAAAACTTTTAAGATCTACTCTCTTACCTTTCAAATATGAAATACAGTATTATTAACTATACTCGCCATGCTATACTCATTTTATAACTGGAAGCTTGCACCTTTCAACCCCCTTCTCTCATTCTGCCCACCATCTGTCTCTGGCAATCACCAATCTGTTCTCTGTACCCATGAGCTCAGTTTTTCTTCACTTGTTTGTTTTAGATTCCACATGTAAGTGACATTATATGGTATTTGTCTTTTTCTATCTGACTTACTTCACTTAACATAATGCCTTCAAGATCGATTCATGTTGTCTCAAATGGCAGGTTTTCCTTCTTTTTATGGCTGAATAATAATCCATTGTGTATCAGTACCATTCTTTATCCATTCACCCACTGGTGGACTCAGGTTGTTTCCATATCTTGGCTATTGTAAATAATGCTGTAATGAACATGGGGGTGCATATGTCTTTTTGAGTTAGTATATTCATTTTCTTTGGGTAAATACCCAGAAGTGGAATTGCTGGAGCATATGGTAGTTCTATTTTTAGGTTTCTGAGGAACCTCCACACTGTCTTCCAGAGCAGCTGCATCAGTTTGCATCCCCACCAGCAGTGCACAGGGTTCCCTTTTCTCCACGTCCTTGCCAGCTTGTTACTTCTTGTCTTTTTGATAATAGCCATTCTAACAGGTATGAGATGAGATCTCATGGTTGTTTTTGATTTGCATTTCCCAGATGATTGGTGGTGTTGAGCATCTTTTCATGTACCTATTGGCCATCTGGATATCTTCTTCAGAAAAATTTCTCTTCAGGTCCTCTGCTCAGTTTTTAATTGGATGGTTTGTTTTTTGCTATTAAGTCATATGAGTTCTTTATATATTTTGGGTATTAACCCCTTACCAGAAACATAATTTGCAAATATTTTCTCCCATTTTCATCTTGTTGATGGTTTCCTTTGCTGTGCAGAAGCCTTTTAGTTTGATGTAATGTATATATTTTTAGAATCGTCAGTATAGTAGTGGAAAAATAGAAGTCCGAAGATAGCCTTCACATTTCAGAAGTAATGGCGCGTGTACTTTTTCAGGAAGGTTAACTTTACACATAACAGTGTTTCTTATATCTTCGACTCCTTAATGGTTTTTTCTTCTAAGTGTGTGTGTGTGTGTGTGTGTATTTAATCTTCTCTACTTGACCACTGTAAAACTTAGTGTTTTTCCTCTAGACCTTTCAGCACTGGAACAGGATGCTGTCTTTGGCCTGGAATCCCTTCTGGTACTTTGTAGTCAAGATGATAGTCCAGGTGCTCAAGCCACTTTAAAGGTGAAAATATCACTTATCTTAATATAATGCCTGTTTTTATTGCCTAAACTAGGGATTGGCAATCTCTCTATAAAGGACCAGATAGTAAATATTTTAAGTTTTGTAGGCTATATACTCTTTGTCACAACTACTCAGTTCTGCAGTGGTAGGATGAAGCAGCCATCGGCAGTGTGTGAAAGGGAACGGATAGGCAGCGTGGTGGTGTGGCAATAAAGCTTTATTTATAAAGCCAGGCCAGAGTTGGCCAAAGGGCAGTGGTTGGTCAACTCCAGTTCAAACAAACATTTGCCCTTGATCTTCACTTTCAAAACTATCATGTTGACCATTGTTATTCCAAAGGATAGACAAAGTAAAAATCTGAGCTTTGGCTTATTTTGCCATCAGTTGAGAGTGTTTATTAAGTTGTAGTAAATACATATGAAGGTCCTAGACAATATAAAGCAAAGGGAAATAGGCAGAGCTCCTGCACTTTAGGAAGTTTATAATCTGAGGTGACACTGGTAAGAGATATTTAAGGTTTATTATTATATTTTTATTATATTTAAGATACTAGAGATATTTAAGACTTTCAAAATGTGAAATGAGACTACTCTTACTGGAGTGAAATATGAAATATAATTTGTGATGGTAAAAATTAAGAAAAGTGGGATTAATAGAAGTAGAAAGCTACTAGGTAGACATTGGAGATTATAAGAACGATAGCTTGTCTAAGGTGTGATTTGAAGGAAGTCATTACTTAGTTTAGCATGTTAAGGAAAGGTTTGATGTCATAGTGATGAACAGTAAAGATATTAATACCATTAAATAAAAGCTGGTAAGAGGTGGGAAGGGAAGTAGGCAACATGTGTTTGGCAAGTGATTCATCCCCGGAATCCCTTTGGAACCACAATAAATTTATTTAAAAGTTTAAAAAAGAGAAAGAGAGAAAGAAAACAAACCAAATCCTTTTCCCACCAATTGTAGGTATCAATAAAACACTGGACTGAACACAGTGGGACATATATAGATGATCACAAAGGTCCCTGTGTTAGAGGAGTTTCCCATCTAGAGAATACTGACATTTATCTAAGGGACTAGAATAGCAAGCAGAACGCACTAAGTTCCTTGGTGTAGTACAAACACAAGTGCAATTCTAATGAGAGGACAGAGTTGGGAGTGATGCCTTTCAGCTAAGGATGTTAGCAAAGACTTGCACAAGGAGATGTCATGTGAGTTAAGCCTTGAAAGATGGTGTAGAATTTCAACACTGAGGAAGGATCATTTGAACCCAAGGGACTACTGCTACTAAAGGCATGAAAACGGAAATGTACTTGTTATGTTGGAAGAATGGTGAATAACCCACTGTGGCTAGATGATATAATATATAAGATTGGAAAAATTGTTTGCAGCTCTGTCATGGAGTATAATCAAATATCATGCCAAGGAACTTTTTCTTGTTTCTATAGGTAGTGAGGAGATACTAAAGTTTTAAAGTAATGGACATGCTGTGACCTTCTTTGTAATTATTGTTATTTAAATGTATCTATTATGTGCCCAACTTTGTTGACAACTTGTATATACATTTCTTTCCTTCTTTACAAAAACCCATCCAGTGAAATTTTCCCCCTTTAATACTCATGAGGAAATTAAGATTCAGAAAGATAAAATAACTTGTTGAAAGATACCTAGCTAATCAAGGGCAAGCTGATCTTCAAATCTGGATCTGTCAGATTCTGAAGACATCATTGTGTCTTCCTAACTCATACTGAAAGCTACATGGCTCTAGTGTGAAGGATGGGTTAATGGGCCCATCTTTTTAAGAGACTGGGATTAGGGAGAGATTTATGTTGTGGTAGAGAGAATGGAAAGCAGGTAGATATTGAAGATTGGACAAAAGTGGAAATGACGAGATGTAGCAATCAGTTGGCTATGTAGAAGTGAGAGGACTTCTGGTTTCTGGTTCTGGTGGCTGGGATATTAGTTGATGCCATTAACTGCCCTGCATAGATATTCTAAAGCCAATTGGTTTTTTGGATTTCAGGTGAGAAGTGAGAGAGAAAATTAGGAGTTTCTTCCCCACTTTTGTGTGCTTAAGAGTCACCTAGGATACCTTTTTTGAAATTCAAACTATCAGTAACCCAAATACTAAAAAAAAAAAAAAATTAATCCATTAAGTTTGGAATAGGTAGGGTCTGGGAATCTATATTTTTATGAGCATCCTGGGTGATGCTGGAATAGGTAAGTTTACAAACCATACTTTAGAAGCAATTTTTGAAAAGCAGTGAAAGTGCAGTATGGTGAGATCCCATTTGGCATGAATTTTGCCTCTTCAGCATTGTGATTTTTCTCTTCAGCATTGTGATTTTTCTCTTCAAGTCTTTTTTTTTTTTTAATAGTCTTAGATTGAAATGAGTGGTTAATATACAGTCCTGACTTATTTTCATTTTAAACTTGGCACATTTGTAGATCTTAATAAGATTCAGTACACGGTGTGTTTCTTATGAAGGAAAATGTTATGCCTACAAAAAGACCTTTTCCTTGATTTTTCCTATTCCTTGATTTTTCCTAATAACTGTACTGAGTTCTTTCTTTAAAGCTTCAGTTAATACCTTCACAGTATAACTGGTCCATTTTCTATTCAATGTGCAGATTGCTCTAAATTGTATGGTGAAGTTGGCCAAGGGCAGGCCTCACCTTAGCCAGTCAGTGGTTGAGACCTTGTTGACCCAGCTGCACAGTGCTCAGGATGCTGCGCGGATCCTGATGTGCCATTGCCTGGCAGCCATTGCCATGCAGCTGCCAGTGCTGGGCGATGGCATGCTTGGGGACCTCATGGAGCTCTACAAGGTGATCGGACGATCAGCCACAGACAAACAACAAGAACTTCTGGTAAAGAGCCGCCTTTTGAACCTACTGGGGATGAATAGATCTGGTCTAGTGGGAATTACTTTAGGAAGTCAATGTTACTGTTTGACTTTACTTAAAAAGGTTAAAGTAATTGGGGCACCTGGGTGGCGCAGTCGGTTAAGCATCCAACTCTTGATTTGGCTCAGGGTCATGAGATCACGCCCTGTGTCAGGCGCCATGCTCATTGCCCAGTCTGAGATTCTCTGCTTCTCCCTCTGCCCCTCCCCCTGCTCACTCTCTCTCTCAAATAAACAAATAAATCTTTTTTTAAAAAAGATGAAAGTAATTATGTAAGATCAAGAGTATGCTGAAGTCAGAATAGAATTGGAACCATGAGCTTTTGACTATTTCCACTTTTGATTTACAAAGCTCTGTTTAGTTCAGATCTAAAACTGCCTTCTTCCTAAGCCCTGTCAAATCAGTTTAGTGTAGCAAAGTCTTAGTCTGATATTTTTATTTTATTACAAAGTGAAAATAAAATGTTTTCCTTCTTATACAAAGCAAATAATGAACTAAAAACCCTGTTATAAACTTTCAAAAATGTAAGTTAAAGACCTGATGATTAACAGTGACCATAAATTAGCCCAAATTGCTTTTTTCCAATTCAGGACCTCTTTACCTGTTTAGAATCCAGTTTAGATTTCAGTATAGTCCTGGGGTTGAGAAAGGTGTGTGCTTAGAAACAGAAGGCACAGAAGCTATATAATAATGTTTAGTTGAAAGTTCTCCAGGGCTAAGAGTAGGCTTCATTCTAAATAAGCATAAATGCGGTGTAAGCCTTATTGTGGTCATCCCAATTTAGGGCTTGTGGAAAAAGGAAACGAGATTTCTTACTCAAGCCCATTTTACATTTTATCCTCCAGGGGGCGTTGTGTAAAAGATTGCCCCCATCTCATTCCTATCAGGAAAGATTACCCTGATGACCAAGTGGCAGTGGTCATGGGAATAACATCATGCAGTTTTCACAATATATACAGACCTTTGTATGTATCAGCCTCAGGATACTAATAAGCAGATTTTTTTTGTTTATTTTTATTGAAATGTCATTTTATTGAAGTTTATTTTTTATTGAAACGGCATTTCCGGAAACTAATGTTCTTTATCCTATTTTTGTTAGTACTGTTATGAGGCAGTTTTAAATTACGAAACATAGTATTCAAAAAACATAAGGAATAATATGAAAACATTTGCATCCATCATCTAGCTTAAGGGAAAAATATTCCCAGTCTAGTTGAATTGTACCTCCCTGTGTATCTCCCTTACCATATCTTCTTCCTTCTCCCAGAGGTTACCACTATCCTGAATTTGATGTTCATCATTCCCATGCATGTTATACATTTACTACCTTAGAATATATCTTAAGTAATAAGCAGTATTATTTTGCATATCTTTAACTTTATATAAATGTTATCTTGCTACATGAAATCATTTGCATGTTGTCTGTCTTTGCCTATTTTGTGTGAATCATCTATACAGATAAGTGTATCTCTAGTTTACCCATTTCTCTACTAAATAATATTTTATTGTGTGATTATATCATAATTTACCTACCCGTATTTATGGGCATTGTTTCTAATTATTTGCTATTGTAAACAATGCTCTGAGCAATGGAATAAATTGCTTAATGACTTCAAAGTGGAAAATTAATAAATGTCAAAGGAAAACAAATTTGATGGACTCTAGCTTTGTCCCTTTTGGGTAAAGTCATCTGTGACATTGGATAAAATTACATGTTTTCCTTATTTCTCTTACTTCTTGCTCAATGTTAGGTGAGTTTGGCCACTGTGATTTTTGTGGCCAGTCAGAAAGCACTATCTGCTGAAGTAAAGGCAGTAATTAAACAGCAGCTTGAAAGTGTCTCCAATGGATGGACTGTGTACCGAATTGCCAGACAGGCATCCAGAATGGTATGTATTATCCTTCTCTAGGACCCAGGTTGGCAAAAATAGCAAAGCTTAGATTGTGTGATTCTGACTTCTAGTCAAAACTGAAAATAAACATGGAGGTACGTTTTAGTCATGGGATTGAAAGTTTTTAACTTTTCTCATTTCAGAATGGTATGTATGTTGTTACGGGGCAAGTTCCACAGGAATTCGAAAAATATGAGCTCTTTCTGGCCGAAGGTTATTAGTGGCACTTCATTTTTCCCTATACTCTCATATCCACAGTCGCCTCCCACCCACCATTTCTGTCCTCCATTATCATTACCCCACATCTTTCTTCCCTCTCTCTCCCCAACCTTGTCATTCTTACATGGAGAGGGAGGCAAGTTTTGGTATGCTGTTCCCTTCTCAGTCATATGGAAAGCCTGCCAATTTTTATTTTGTTGGAGAGGAAATATAGAGCTTGGGTAGTATAGAAATCCTTTGGATACAAGTCCAGAGAGCAAAATTTGAGAAGCATTATTCTAGGTATTGTAATGCATGTTCTCATCTTACCGCGTTTCTCAAATAGAGGAGGAGCTCTATTGGTAGGACAATTCTTTGCTATACCCAACACCCCCAAGCATCCAGGTGCTGCAGGATATTGAGCATCCCTGGCCCCCAGGCATTCAGTGGCACTCACATTCCCCCCAACAGCTCCCCTCCCCCAGTCATTTCCAGAGGCAGGTGCAGTGCTTCTGATAATCACTTCAGGGAACTTGCTGGAGTCTCCTGCCCGTCCCCGCCCCACTAAATAGCTCATACAGAATGACATACACTCAGTGTTTACACTTTCTATAGTTTGAACTAAAATTCTAGACTTGAATTATAGTTAACTCCATTTATATTCTCTTTGGAACTGTTTTAGAAAAGAACTAAAGGTGTTTGTTACGTAAAAGCAGCTCAGCATCTTTTCTCTGAAGAAATACTTAGACCGAGTCTTAAAGAATTATATAATGTGAGGAATGGTTGTTAAAACTTATCCAAGGGTTTTGAGTTTGTCTTTCAGCTGCCTCTCAGCTAATTCAAGTGTGAGAACCTCATCATGTGCCCACCCCCGCTTTTTCAGGGTAACCATGACATGGCCAGAGAGCTTTATCAGAGTTTGCTGACTCAGGTTGCTTCAGAACATTTCTACTTCTGGCTAAATAGTCTGAAGGAGTTCTCACATGCAGAACAGTGCCTCACCGGGTTGCAGGAGGAGAACTATAGTTCAGCACTTTCTTGCATTGCTGAGTCTTTAAAATTCTACCACAAAGGGATTGCTTCCTTAACAGTAAGTCCTCTTGACTCTTCTTTGGTGATGATGACTTGTATGAGAATGGTCTCAATTTTCTTTGTGGGTTTTTCTGTTTGAACTACCTTGAAAAATCTGGTGATAAATACATTTAACAATATTAAATAATAGGACATGGTAGTAAATCCTTAACCCTTTCCCCACTTTTTCATATTCATAAATTGATGGAAGTTTATCATTTTGTTTTTATCAAGTACCAGGTACCACATATGAGGTGGATTACTGAATCCATGCAGAAAGGATAAGTAGGAGATAGGATCTTCCCTTTCCAGACTCCTGTTCATAAGAGGTATTGGGTCAGAACCAACCATCAAATGTAAACCCCGCCACAACCCACTTCATGCCTGGCAGCTACTCACTAAGAAGCTAAAGTTTCTTGCTTTGTAGATAAAGAAGAAATTGTCAAGGATGCTAGTGTCCCACTTTTTACCCCTCTGTGATATCCTCCTATTCTAAATTAAGAGTCAGCCAGCTACTATTCTTGTTTTCTCTGCCAGGAGAGTAAAGGGGTTGCAAGAAGGGTAGACCATTAACATTTCTATGTTTCCTTGAAATTAGTTATATTCCAAAGTAAGAACCTGTACCCAAGATGAGCATTTTCTATATTAATGCAAAGATTTATTTTCCCCTTAAGGGTAAAGAGTTTATATAGTCAACATTAAACATTTTGTAAGTATTATCACACAGCTTTTAAAATTGTATATATTTAAATGGAACCATAAAACTTTTGGTACCTGTTTATATACATTATTCCCATAATCTAAAATATTTTTAATGGTGGGCCATCCCAAAAGAAGTGCTGTAAAGTAGAATAAAGAATAAACAGATGTCACAAAAGAGACAATATTCAGAATACTGTCGGTACATATCTTTTGAAGTATAATTTTTTTTGGCTAGGATTGATCGATCAACTGCTGTTTTAAAACAGGAATATAGGCATGGCTTCTCTCCATCTTAAAGGGTAGCATTGACTACTGTGATTCTTTTCTCTTGATTATTCTGATAAAAGAGTGTTGTTGCCTGTATCAGGCTAATAAATGCCTCAGAAAATCAAAAGGTACAATTACTGGTTGCAATCAGTAGAATTATTTCATTTTCTAGTTCACATGGAGCAGAAAATTGTTTATTATTCAGTACAGTAAATGGTTGGAACTGTGAAACAAACTCAGCAGCGAAGCAGATAAAATTAATACTATGAAAATCCTGTTGAATATTTAATAGTCTTTTAATGATTTGTGTGGTATGTGTATTTAATGAGGCTTGGCAGTAATTAAGGACTGATTCTAACATAGAAAGAAAGTACTCAGTTGACAGACAGAAACCTCTTGTCTTGATCTCCTTTCTGCCGTTAACATATTATGACCTAAGGCAGGTTATTGGGCCTTACGTCACCTCCTTTTGAAATGGAATTCTTTTATTCAGCAGACTATAAGCACTTACTAGTGCCAGATACTGCTTTGAGGATTAAAAAAAGATCAGGACATGATTCTCTACTTGAGAGTAGGGTAGAGAGGAAGGCAGTATGATTCTTACAGTCATTTGGAACTTAACACATTTCTGATTGTACTATACCATCAGGGTCTTTTAAAGATTTATTTTAATCATTCATTTGGCAAGTGTGGATTGACAGTAGCTTTGTGTCTTTGTAACTGAGAAGATACGAGCATGGACTGACCTTCTACTCCTGCCACATGAATGACCCAACATGAGATTGGACAGTTGTGAGAATTCTGCTTTTTACCTGCTTCAGCCAAACTGAACAGGAGAAGTTCAAATTCTGTGCTTATGGGGACCGTATAGCAACATTGGGTATCTAAATTTCCCAACACTAATTAATGATTGAGTTATCTTGCTACTTAAGAATAAAGATTATAAAAAGTATTTTAGTTTTCTGTGCTGTGTAACAAATCACCACAAATTTAGTGACTTAAGACAACACCCCCCCCTTTTTTTAAGATTTTATTTAAAAGAGAGAGTGCGTGTGAGCGAGCGAGCGCAGGAGCAGCTGGGGGAGCAGAGGGAGAGGGACAAGCAGACTCTGTACTGAGCACAGAGCCTGTCATGAGGCTCCTTCCCATAACCCTGTGATCAGGAATCCGCCACTTAACCGACCACGCAGGCCACGCAGGCAGCCCAGACAATACCCATGTGCCCATGAGCCAGAGGTCCAGGCATGGCTCAGCTGGCTCCGCTGATCATGCTGTCATAGTCGCGGTCACAGTGTCAGGCAGGGCCAGTCTGGTCTGAGGCCCAAGGAGGCACAGGGTCCTCTTCTGGACTCATGTTGGCAGAACTCATTTCCTCACAGCCTTCAAATTTGTGGAAGCTTCAAGGCCTGCAGGAAAATCTCTCACCTTCAAGACTGTCTTTTAATGGGCTCACCCAGAAAAATCTCCCTTTTGAGTGATACATAGTCACTTCATTAAGGATCTAAATTATATCCCCAACATTCCTCACCTTTGCTGTATTCCATTGGTTAGAAACAAGTTACAGATTTCATCCACACTCAGATTACTGAAGATGTGGACACCGTGGGGTGTGAAGCAGAGGAACAATCTTAGCATTCTGCTTACAGTGGTGGATTGTTAATTGTATTTATTTATTTATTTTTTTAAGGATTTTATTTATTTGAGAGAGAGAGAGAGCGTACCTGAGCTGGGGCGGGGGGGGGGGCAGACGGAAAGGGACAAGCAGACCCCACTGAGCGCAGAATCTGTCACAGAGCTCAGTCCCAGGACCCTGAGATTAACTGACTGAGCCACCCAGGTGCCCCATTTTATTTATTTTAAAATAGTAAATATGTAGAATATCTCCATATATAGTATAGAGGGTATATTAAAAAAATACAACAAATATCCAGATATACCTAGTATATTTAGGAAATGGGGCATTACCATTGCCTCTAAAATTCATGCATATTCCTCCATGTTTGTATACCATTTCCTACCCCACAAAGATAATCACCATCCTGAATCTTCTGTATACCATCCTCTTGCCTTTCTTTATAATTTTAACATGCATTTTTGAACTCTAAGCAAGGTACTATTTTATGTTGTTTTTGAATTTTATATAAAAAAGAATCATATTTTTCTTCAACTTGCTTTATTTAAATTATGTTCTTAAGATTCATTCATCTTGTTGCATGAAGCTGTAGGTCAGTTTTACTGCTGTATATTCTTCCATCGTATGAATATACATCAATTTATTTGCCCATTCTAGTGTTGATGGAAATTTTAATTTTTCCAGTTTTTTGCTGTTAAAAACAGTACTGCTATGAACATTCTTGTACATATCTTTTGATACACATATGTAAAGCTTTTTCTAGGACAGCGATCCTCAATCGGGAATGATTTTGCCCTTCCAGAGAACATTTGGCAATGTCTAGAGACATTTTTCGTTATCATGATTTGTCATGGTGTTACTGGCATTTAGTGGGTACAGGCCAGAGATGCTGCTAAACATCCAGGAATGCACAGGACCACTCCCTTCAACAAATAATTACTCAGTTCAAACTGTAACTAGTATACTGAGAATGGAAACCCTTCTCTAGGGCAGTAGACCTCAATCAAAGCTACATATCTGTCCCTTGCTCCAATTTGGAAGTGTGTGGGGATGTCTCTCTCTGTCACAGGGTAAGGGGGACTACTACTGGCTTTAACGGTCAGTGGGTAAAGATGCTTAATCTTCTGAAATGCCCAGGACATTCCTGCCTGTGCTAAGAGATACTGCTCTAGGGGCACCTGGGTGGCTCTGTCGTTAAGCGTCTGCCTTCCGCTCAGGTCATGATCCCAGGGTCCTGGGATCAAGCCCCGCATCGGGCTCCCTGCTCAGCGGGAAGCCTGCTTCT